CTCCCCCTCCTCTTCCTCTTCCTTCTCCTCTTCCTCCCCCTCCTCTTCCTCTTCCTTCTCCTCTTCCTCCCCCTCCTCTTCCTCTTCCTTCTCTTCCTCTTCCTTCTCTTCTTCCTCCCCCTCCTCTTCCTCTTCCTCCTCCTCTTCCTCCCCCTCCTCTTCTTCTTCCTTCTCCTCTTCCTCCCCCTCTTCCTCCTCTTCCTCCTCATCCTCCTCTTCCTCTTCCTCCTCTTCCTCCTCATCCTCCCCTTCCTCCTCTTCCTCTTCCTCCTCTTCCTCCCCCTCTTCCTCCTCCTCTTCCTCTTCCTCCTCCTCTTCCTCTTCCTCTTCCTCTTCCTCCTCCTCCTCCTCTTCCTCCTCCTCCTCCATAAAGCCCACTCCCTTCCAACACTGATTGAGTAACCTAGTTGGGTCAAGAAATGTCTGCAAGAAAACCACCAAGCTCAGAGAGCACTCAGGACCTCTCATTCCAACCCCGAGCTACAAATATTTTCCTTATACTGGTACCTGTTAGTTTTTCTTGTTAGTTCTTCCATACTTCTTCCTCCTTTGGACCTCTTAAAAACAGCCCAAGCCTTGGTAGATTTTCTGGCCCAAAGATCCAAACAAAGGGAGGAAGTTCTGGAGAACCTACCTGCCTTCATCCGCGACCTCACCTCTCACTCTCAGGCGCTCCACTTCCTCTGCTGGGATCTCTATTACATCCAGCGGGTCCCAGCGGTGGGTGGGCATCAGGGAGGCCCCCCCGCCATTGCTCTCTGGGCCCAGCTCTGCCCGTTGGACCTCAATCCCTGAAAGCAGAGAGACCTGGCACTTTGGTCGTGCGTAATGTTGTGGCCCACCAACAGCCAGCAGAGTCGGACAGTGAGGAGGTTGGGGAGGAAGATGGGCCAGTGGTTGAGATTGGGAAAGGCTTGGATGAGGCCTCTGTGTCGGAGGCAGAGAGGGGGCCAGGGCTGTTTGACAGTTACCAGCTACCTTCAGAGTCAGACATCAGTGAGGCAGAAGAACAGCTGCAGCCTGTTCCCAGTGTGCGCATGCGGAGAGCTGCCAGATGAAGGGAGCAGCTGAAGAACNACAGAGAGAGAAACACAGAGAAAGAGAAACAGAGAGACAAAGAGAAACAGAGAAAGAAAGGAACAGAGAAAGAAAGAGAGAGAGAGAGAAACACAGAGAGAGAAATAGGGAGACAGAGAAACAGAGAAAGAAAGAAAGAGAGAGAGAGAGAGAAAGTAACAGAGAGAAACAGAGAGAAAGAAACACAGAGAGAAAAACAGAGAAAAACAGAAAGAAAAAGAGAAAGAGAAAGAGAGGAAGAGAAAGAGACAGAGAGACAGAGAACATGTGAGAAACAAAAGCCAACAGCGCCCTCTTGTGCCCAGCAGCAGGAAAGACAAGCCCGCCCCAAGGGCGACAGGGCAATATGGATCTCATCATGCAGAATTGGCTGGAGAGAGAAAACCTTATAGATGATCCCACAAGCAGGAAAGTGGGAGAGGGGCTCAGTCCGTCCCACCCACTTTCCTCTAGTGTAGAGAAAAGAAGGACATTGGGGGGGGGACACATGATGGCAGTGTTCTAATATCTGAGGAGCTGCCACAAAGAGGAGGGGGGTGAAATTATTTTCCAATGAGAAACAACGGATGGAAACTAACCAAGGAGAGAAGCAACTTGGGATTAAGGAGCAACTTCCTAACGTGGATTAACCAGTGGAACCGCTTGCCACCAGAGGTTGTGGGTGCTCCATCACGGGAGGCTTTTAAGAAAAGTCTGGACAGGCATTTGTCCAGAATGATGGAGGGTCCCCTGTTCAAAGAGGGGGTTGGACTAGAAGACCTCCAAAGTCCCTTCCAGCTCTATTTGTTAGGGACAACTAGAGGAATGTTTACAAAGGAAATCAATTCTATCATAATTCATATACTGACAGCAGCAAGAACAGCATACACCCAAAATTGGAAAATAGACCGCATACCCTCCGAAAACATAATTTAAAAAATTATCTACGCAGAAGTGGTTAAATTAACTCTCAAACTGCAAGATAAAGAAGAAAAAAAGAATGCTATATATACAGCACAGGACAAATGGTATCAGTGGTTCGAGAATAGGAAGAACGAATGAAAGTAGAATCTTGTAAAGATGTAAAGATTAGACTCTAGGAATGATAAATGCAAAGAGGGAATTGCAAATGAAAAACGAATGGAAAGTATGAAAGATGCTGTGCAAAAGGGGGGGGGGATATACTGATGTCTTAGGAACGGGAAGAAGGGAGGTAGGATTTGATGTTTATGTTTTGGTTTTGTAAAAAGCTGAATGAAAATTATGTGTTTAAAAAAAGGAAGGAAAGGAAAAACGATTGTCTGAATGGAGCCCTTCGGAGTCCGGGTTGTGGGGGGACTCACCTCCGTCCGCCGTCGGACACAGCCGAGTCTTTGAACACAGCACTGCTGCTGGCGAGAAGGTGCTGGAGGGCCCCATAGCTGTACCATGTATGGGTGAGGGTGATTTGACGCAGACCTGCAGGAGGGTAGAAAGGGCATCAGGAGCTGGGGGCACAGAAGCTCAAGGGGAGAAGATGGGTGGTCCAAGCAGCAGACAAATGGACGCCCAACAATGAAGTCCACCGTTCCTTTCCTCCTTGGCCTCCTCTGTTCATTTTGAGGGTCCTTGATGCTCTCTGAGCTGGGCGGTGTTCTTGCAAGACGTTTCATGACCCAACTAGGGAATATAATCAGTGCTAGAAGGGAGAGAGGAAGGAGGAGGGGGGAGGGGGAGGACTGTGGGGTCCTTGGTGCTCTCTGAGCTTGGTTGTTTTCTTGCAGACATTTCATGACCCAACTAGGGAATATAATCAGTGCTGGAAGGAACTGTATATAAATGTAGAACAAACTCCACGCCCTTCTAACACTGATGATGTAACCTAATTGGTTCATGAAATGTCTGCAAGAAAACCACCAAGCTCAGAGAGCATCAAGGACCCCACAGTCCTCCCCCTCCCCCCTCCTCCTTCCTCTCTCCCTTCTAGCACTGATTATATTCCCTAGTTGGGTCATGAAATGTCTGCAAGAAAACAACCAAGCTCAGAGAGCACCAAGGACCCCACAGTCCTCCCCCTCCCCCCTCCTCCTTCCTCTCTCCCTTCTAGCACTGATTATATTCCCTAGTTGGGTCATGAAATGTCTGCAAGAAAAC